AAAAATTAAAATAGTAATAATAAAAATAAAGCGCAATTACAAGAAGACAAACCGAAACTTGCCATTTACAGATCAACCGGCCTCCGTCATCCATCTTTAAAATTCTCAAAAATATCAAAAGTCATGGTAAAAACCCAACCCATATCTTTCATTTTATCAAACTCTCAACATTTTGATCATGACATGTGTAAATACATCGATTTGATAGTTCAAAAAATAGCACCTGAGTGCTTAATTTGTAAATATCAAAGTTTCGGGTGGTCCCTTCTTTAATTATCCCTAAAAGTCAATAAGAAAATCTTCCTATGATGCTTTGGTGACAAAAAAGAAAGGTGCAAATATTAAAGAAAATAATAAACGAAGAATGATCAGATAGATATTATGATAATGAATGTTATTAGACCAGAGGCCAAAAGCATATTTGCACATCTAAAAGTAATGGTGGAAATCAAATTCTGTACCCACATGAAACAAATTGAGAATCACATAAAAGCTTATTCAACAAAGCAAAGGCATCATCATAAGAAATTAAAAGTAAAATTCCATTTAGAAGTTTAAGAATAAATCAAAACATCATCAACTTGTATTCAATAGAAACCAAGTGTATCTCTGATAAGTCCCACTATAAATATATATGTATATAATAGATAAATATCACAACTCAATAACTATTTTCTGAAAAAAAAAAAAAAAAATTCAAACCTCAAGAAAGAAAAGCCTATCAGTACTGACATAAATCAAAGACTCACCTGATTATATCCCCCAATCTGGTTTTACATCTCTACACAAATCTCAAGAAAGAAAAGCCTAAGTTCAATTGTAGAAAAGAACTCAAATTTCAAACCTCACACAAAAACCTATATACCTCTGGAACTCAAATTTTCTGGTTAGCTCTAAATAATTAACCAACCATTTATGAATTTTAACGAAATATTTAAAATTCACAACAATGCCCCATTTTTTTTTTTTTTCTCACTGAATTCTTAGCATGGTGTAAGATGTGAAACCAAAAGAATGACACCTCCCTAGGCAGCAACTCCTGCGGAAGCGAAAAAAAAAACAAAATTTATGGGATTATTAGAAAAGGCAAAGAGAAAAAATTTCATACATTTTCACGTTAACTAGCGGGATCATGATAAGGATGTATATAACAATGAAACATGCAGGCAAAAATGTTATCCATCTGTCAACATAAAGTTCCATACATTATAGCCAATTCAGAAAGGACTCTTATTAACTGAAGGGATTTTGCATGCAAACATTTAACTATGTAGCAAATGTTAGTTTGGATAGGTTCATTTGTGCTGCAATACTTCTTGATCAGAAACATGCACTTTATGAGAGCCAAATGGAAGAGGTTCGCGATAAAATTCAGCACATCCTTGCAATATAGGTACATTAAATCTTAGGGAATGAAAGTATACACAATTAGTAACTAAAATTTCCAATCATGTCTCACCATTAAGTAAAATATTATACCTAAATTTGACATTTTTATATACTCTTGAGACTAAAATGACACCACATAAGTAGTGAGGAAGTCATTTTAAAACTTACTTCATCAAGATTCCCAAGACCATCTCTTAAAAAAATTGTTAAGTATGATTCAAATGGGAAAGATTGGTTACTATTAACTTGGAGTTGTGCCCCCTTTTTTTTCTCTAAAAACTCCTTTTTTTATGCATATTTTTTATTTGTCATTGGTTTCAAGCTCCTTTTTTTTATTTTTTGGGCCTCTTGGTCATTTGACACTCATGTAGTATATTTTTTTTATAATCTCAATTTGATTTGTTCATTTCCGTTGTTTATTCAGAAAAATTATAGTTCACAAAGCCTTGCCTCTTTTTTTTGTTAGAAATATTTACGAAGGGCTTCTTTGGGATCATATATATATATTTTTTATTTTTTTATTTAAAAAAAAAACATGTCTGTTTAGTATATTTTTTGTATGCTTTTATTTTTTGTTTTAAAAAATAAATAAATTTGAAACATCTAAAAGTTGGTTTTGAGTGTTTTTTAAAAGAACTCATGTTACAACATATTAAATATGTTTCATTTTAAGAAAAAAACATGAACAAAACAAAAATAAAACATAAAAAACTAAAACTAAAAGTGTTCCCAAGGAGCCCCTAAGGCGCATACTAAAATGCTTAAAATTTCCTACTCAGTAGGGTATATTATATGGAGGGGTTGATATGTATTGTCTTACCTTTCGCAGAGAATCTATTTCAGTGATTTGAACATATTGCCTTTAAATCTAAGGTGGGCAAACAATTTTAAAAAAGGGGCATATCTAGTCATACATCTAACACCTGAACTTTAGGCTTTACATTTATACCACCCTTTATACCACCCAAAACATTTATACCACCCAAAACATTCATATCACATAAAAAATACCACCATTTTAATTTTTAAAAGTGAAATATATCTCTCTCATGCATAGTAAATACAATGGAATTGACTGATATGCATGCAAAATTCCCTTAAAGAAAACACTTCCTCTGTATTAGTAATATCATATTTCTATCTATGATGAAAAAAGATTCCTAGATGGCTAATCTGTCTTGTTGAAGACCAAGTCACATGTGAAAGTCAAGTCATTTCAGGACACAATGACCATTTAGAACACAATTTCTCTGCAGGACAGCTTACGGCTTCATAATACCATGTCATTTCAATACATCATGTCACTTCAGGAGGACATGTCAAGCGCTCCATTAGGTTGTCCTATTCTTTTCTATTAAAACATTAATGAGAATTGTTAAAACAGTTTCGAACAGAGAAAGCGCATGTCGGACACAAGTTGAACACAACGTTGTTATTGTAACTTGATCATCTCTCTTCTAAATTGTTTTGACATTTTACTATATAAATAATGAGTTATAAACATCGGCATAAGGTCGTCATGCGTTATCCACAAATTGTGGATATTAAAGACTCTCATAAGTATACATCGAATATTAGCATGTGCCATCAACATGCCATCACCTATTTTTTTCAAAATTTGACGTGTCGCCATGTGTAGGCTTACATATTTGGGGGAAGTTGATGCAGTTATATCTTTTTATAAACAGTTATTAATTATATCTAATAATTCTATATTACTATTATATAGTACTTACTGCTGAATATTACATCTTATTTCGGTTTAGCCTATTCCTTTTACACGTGTATATGGTTGTGGTGTAGTGGAGACACATATATGGCTACTTCTGTAACAGTAGAGGATACTTTTTGTTATATGATTATAAAAAAATACTCATTCACTTCCTATTCTCTGTTTGTAGTTGCACCAATTGGTATCTAAGAGGCAAGAATGGCGGACGGAGGAAAACGATCAGTGAATGACGACAATCAAAGCCGGGCAATTCTACACGAGACTCAAGCTTCCCTCACTCAGCGGATTGATCAGCTTACCAGCAATTTTCAACGATTTATTGGCGAGAGTTTTGATCTCTCAGGAAAGCTGGATTCATCCCACCGGCAACCACAATTTTTTGAGAATTGAGAATTGCATGTATGCGGTCTTGGTGACTAAAAATTTCCCTTTGAAGTGGAAAAATTGTTAGGTCAGTTCACATATGGTTGGCCGACTGACTAACCTAATCAACTTCCTCCTCTACGCTCCATTCAATATTAAATAGATTTTATTTCCGGTTCAACGTTACCCAACCAACCTCACCATAGGATGAATCTCAAGGAACATCAAACCTTACAAGAAATTGTTGAAGATTTCCTGCGAAAACAATACATTCGACATAGTCTTAGTCCATGTGTTGTTCCAACACTCATATTTCAAAAAAACAAAAAGGCTCATGGCGAATGTGTATTGAAAACCAAGCAATTAGCAAAATCAATATTAAGTTTCACTTTCCTATGACGAACCTAGACTAACTTCTCAATAGATTGGGTGGAGTCAGTTGTTTTTCAAAATTAGATCTTCGCAGCGGCTATCATCAAATTAGAATTCGTGAAGGAGATGAATGAAAAATAACATTCAAGACTCAAGAAGGTTTATATGAATGGCGAGTAATGCCCTTTGGCCTATGCAATACCCCAAGCACATTCATGAGACTAATGCATGAGGTACTCAAACCTTTCCATGGATATTTTTGCGTGGTATATTTTGATTATATTCTTGTGTATAACCCTTCATTGGATGCTCATTTACATCACCTAAAATTGATTTTAACGACTCTTCATGATCAAGAGCTTTTTTGAATCTTCCCAAGTTCGAATTTGCCATGAAAGAGGTGCAGCCTTTTGTGTCCAAACAGGGTATCAAAACTGATTCGAGCAAGGTAGAGGCTATAAATTCATGGCCAAAACCAAAAAAATTTACAAAACTTTGAAGCTTCCATGGGCTTGCTAATTTCTACCGTAGATTCATGTGAAATTTCAGCATAATTGTGGCTCTGATTACAGACTGTTTGAAGCAAAAACTATTTTTCTGGGGTGACAAACAGCAGCCAGCTTTGCTGCCATTAAACAACACCTAAGTTCTGCACTAATTTTAGCAATGCTTGATTTTGATAAACCTTTCCAAGTGGAGGCTGATGCTTCTCCTTTTGGCATGGGAGCAGTTCTTTCCCAAGAGAAACAACCGATAGAAATTTTTTAGCAAGAAATTAAGTGGTCCGCGGCAAAGGAGGTCTACCTACGAACAAGAATTGTATGCTGTGATTCAGGCACTTTAACAATTGGAGCACTATTTAATTTCACAAGAATTTATGCTTTTCAATGAGCACCAATCATTACAATTTTAACAAACACAAAAAAACTTGAATCGAATGCATATGAGATGAATTGTATTTCTTCAAAAGTTTAGTTTTGTTTTGAAACACAAATCAGGCCATAACAATCAGGTTGCTCTTATCCAAAAATAGCGAGCCTTCTTGTTGCGGTTCAATCTCTAATAACAGGTATTGAAATGCTTTGCAAATAATATGTAGACGAAAGTGATTTTTCAATTCCATTGTCTATTTGTAAGGAGCATAGGGCAGCAGGTGATTATTCTATTCAAAGAGGATTTCTCTTCAAAGGAAATCAACTTTGTATTCCAAATACTTACCTTCGACAACAACTCATTCACGAATTGCATAGTGGTGGATTGGCCGCTCATGATGGAAAAGACAAGACATTGGCTCTCCTTCAAGCGAGAATTTTTGGGCCACGACTTCATGGTAATGTGTGTCGCTTTGTTGAAAAATATCAAGTGTGCCAAACATTAAAAGGGGTTGATCAGACTGGCCTTTATACTCCTTTACCTGTCCCATATTCAATTTGGGAAGAACTTAGTTCAGAATTTGTTATGGGGCTTCCAAAAACTAAACAAGGTTATGATCCTGTCATGGTGGTGGTTGATAGATTTTAAAAAATGGCCCATTACATTGGATGCAATTAATGTTGCAAAACTTTTCTTCAAGGAAATTATTCATCTACATGGCATTCCAAGGAGCATAACTTTGGATCGTGATGTTAAGTTCCTTAGTTGTTTCTAGCGTGAATTGTGTAAGCGAATACAAACTGAACTTAAATTTAGCTCAGCTTATCATCCTCAATCTGGTGGACAAATTAAAGTGGTAAACCGCTTGTTGGGTAATATGATTTGATGTCTTGCAAGTGAACATCCAAAGCAATGGGAAGATGCCTTCGGTCAAGCATAATATGCTTTTAACTCTAAAGTAAATAGAACTACAAGCAACACACCTTTCAGTATTGTATATACTAAAGAACCAAATTATAAGGTTGATATCGCTGTAATTTCCAAATCGAGAAGCTCTCAAGCAATCAAAATGGCAGGCGATTTTGAGGAAATGTTAAAAACCGAAACATAAAATTAATGAGAGCAATGCAATATACAAGCAACAATTTGAAGCACAACACTGAAGAAAGATTTTTAATGTTGGGGATCCAGTGATGATTCGTCTCCGTAAGGAAAGATCTCCTACCTGCACTTACTCTAAACTAAAACCACAAAAAAATTGGGCCTTTCCTATTGACGCAAAGATTAATGATAATGTGTATGTGGTGACACTTCCTTGGAATTTGAACATATCCTACACTTTCAATGTAGCTGATCTGTATAAGTCTCACGCACCAGATGATGGGTGTGTGCAAATTACTAAACTTGAGTTGAGTTTTTTTGAACCAAAAGGGAATTGCGGTAGCTATATCCTTTTATAATGAACTATTATAATATCTAATAATTCTATATTAGTATTATACAGTACCTACTGCCGAATATTACACCTTATTTCGGTTTAGTCTATTGTTTTTACACATGTATACGATTGTGTAGTGAAAACACGTACATATGGCTACTGCTGTAACCATGGAGGACACTTTTTAATATTTGATTACAGAAATATACTCATTCACTCTTTATTCTCTATTTTCCCCCTTTCTTTATTCTGCAGCTGCGCCAAAAGTATTCATGGTTTCTTGCTACATTGAAGTATATATGCTTATGGACTTGTTCATACTGAAATTGTGAAGGAGGATTGTAATAAAGTTAATTCAATGATATTAAAGAAGCAAAGAGGATGACAAAGATTTACATGGAAAACAAATAATTTGGATGAGCCCCCGACCTGAGGAGACTTACAAATGACATCGCTATAATATAATATAACTAATTGAGACTATATAAAACATAAAGGACTATACTATTGGATCAATCGTAAAAATTCTGAGCTACCGCCATAGATCCCAAAAAACTTTCCAATAATATTGCTTGCGCCATGTGCCACACATCTTTCCAGAAAACCTTCTCTATATTAAAAAAAAATAATAAAAATAAATAAATAAATAAATAAATAAATAAAAACCTTCTCTATATTCTAAAGCTCCTTGTCATTTCAGGAGTCAGTTCAAATTGGGAGTGGCCTGAGATTTTGTCTGAGCAGCTTATATACTGTTACTAGTTTGTTTGCCTGATCGACAAGAAAGCAAACCCTTCTGATTTCCAAAATATTTTGACGAAAAATCTGCCACCTATCTATGGGGACGACAAAAGACTTAAGTCTTTTATTATACTTCGTGTATCATATGTTGGAAATTATCATATTAACATCCCACTTATGTGGCCACAGAACCAAATTAATTTTTTTTTATATGAAGGCAGGATCTTAATCACCACTCTTGCCCGTTGGATTGCAATCAGACAAACCGAAATGAAGTCTTGCAGACAGGCTAAGGAGGAGATTAAGGCTTGTTCTAAAGACATGCGGCAAGGGCAGTCGTTATAAGGAGACAAGAACATAAGAGATGCAACAGAAGGTTAACAAGCAATTAATGTTTGACAGTATAAATAATTGTATATAAAAAAACTGATAGAATGAATATAGAATAAAAAAAAAATCCAACTATTAAGTCTGCATACTCTAAGATAATTTATGATGTTTGGTAGTCACAAAGCTATTGGAAGGAATTACCTCAAGTGATTTTTCAGTTGTTTTCTAATTCTAATAAGAGTAATAATTAATTCCACACAATCTCAATTGAAACTAAAAAAGTGGGAAGATTTTGTTTACCTCTATTCACTTATCGATTTGTAACATTATAACCACCCATGTAACCTGGCAAACCCTTGGCTGTGACGTCTGAAGCTGTGGCACCAAACCCATAAGCAAATGGACTAGATCCATCAAGCTCAGATGAAGCTGAATGCCATGTAGGATCTCCATAGATTGGATTACCTCCATATGAATCTGTATAATTTCCTTCATATACATTTCTTGGTGTTGTGGAGGAAGTATTGATGGAGCCAGCGCCACTGCTCCTCCCATAACCACCAGCGACTAAACCAAAACTACTATCACCAATTCCATAGCTCTGATTGCCAGTAGCAAAGCCTGAACTGTTGCCCAAACCATGCGCTGCAAGAGATGAAGAGGATCCTACCCAGTTAAGGCCACTGTTACCAAAACCACTAAGGTTGCCACTTGTGGAGGTCATGTAGGAATTTGAATTTGTAGGAGTAGTGTTATAGTTGAGGCCACCATTAGTCCATATGTTACGAGCTGTTGAACTAAATGGTAAATCCAGATTACCAGCACCCACCCCATATGTAATAGGAGTGCCAATTCTGCTTGAGTTCCCTCCATAATATGGGTTTACGGCTCTACCATAATCAAAGCTACTGCTGAAATAAGAGTTCCCGCCATAACTCAAACCTGTCCCAGACTCGATATTCATTCCAATTCCATAACCAGGACTGAAAGGAGGGAGTCCTTTACGACCACCACTCAATTGTCCAAACCGACCATCCATCCTCATTCCAAAGCTGCCTGTATAGCTTGGGTTGAACCCTGGATTATATTCATTTAAAATGTTGTTAACCCTATTCAAACCAAAGCTATAGCTTCCCATCGGTATTCGTGTGTTAGGTCCAGGAGAGAGCTCCTTAGGAACAGCTCTCTTTACCTCTACCATCTTTCCATTGAGTTCGTGAAAACTTTTGTGCAAAGCTTTCTCAATGGCATCTTCTGAGTCAAAGGTTATGAAACCAAACCCTCTTGGCCTTTGAGTATTGTGGTCATACATTACAACAACATCTGTGATGGTCCCAAACTGCTCAAAATATTTTTTGAAGTCTGCTTCTGTTACAGTGGAGGCCAGGCCTCCTACAAATATCTTTTTGGTTCGTCCAGGAGCAGGAGAACCTGGGAGGCTGCTGCTGTTTCTATTAAGTATGTGCTGATCGTCCCTCGGTACAGCCTTCTTGGCTTCCACCTGTTATGCATGATTAGAAACTAAAATTATTTGGAATATGAAAAGAAATATATATGAAAATTCAATCTCAACAAGAAATGGAATAAATCACAGTTAGAAAATAATAGTTATATGGCAATGTATGTGGGATGAATATCCATTAAGATGGAACACCCGTTTTATTTTTCTTTCTACAATTACTCCAAGCATGCCGATTTAAAATATAGATAAGGGTTTCAAGTTTTCAAAGGCTAATAGAAACCAAACGATTAGTAATGTTACTTACCATCCGGCCATCGATCTGGTGCTTTTCCAAGATGACCCTCTCCGCAACAGCAGGGTCGGCGAAGACCACAAACCCGAAACCGCGCGCACGGCCAGTGGTCCGGTCCTTCATGATCACCGCCTCAACAATTTCCCCAAAGCTCTTGAAATACTCCCGGAGGCGATCCTCATTGGTATCCCAGGAGATCCCCCCAATGAAAAGCTTTCCGAGATCCGTCTCCATTCTCCTTCCTGCAATCTCCAAACACATTATTCTCAATCAAACAATCACAATTACAGAACAAAAGGACCAATCCGCCATCCAATAACCAATTCATGGCGAATAAAATCAAGACCAACCAGATCAAATTCGATACAAAAATCCTCTAACCAGACAACGAAATTCGATCTATTCAACAACGAATTCGATTTTTCAGGAAACCCAAATAACTACACCAGCAGAATAACCGTCGATGCATACTACATATTCAACATATGACATAAATAACGAATAAAACCAACGCAAACCGCATCCAAGTCGAAAATCGAAGCCCAAACCCAAAAAAGCATTGCAGTATAACCGCAGGTTGGAAAACAACCAGTAAATCAACAGGGGAAGCTCAGATCCTACTCCGATCGAAAATAAACGAAGTAAAATTCGTAAAAAAAAAAGGAAAAAAAATAGAAGAATACAAATGGAAAGCAGATGAGATCGAATTGAACGTGAAATACTCACCGATTGATCCGCGTTCCACCTTCCGATGAGAACACGAGGGGATCCCCTCTCTTTCCTCCGTCTAAGATCTGTTAGTCCCCATCGACAGATCAGAAGAGCTCCTCATAGCCTTCTCCACCTCTCCCCCTCCATCTCTCTCCCTCTGGAGGCGCTTTTATAGCTCTCCGTTTCTCCTCATTTTTTCTCGTTTTTTAATATATTTCTTTATTTCCTTCGCTCGATTCGACAAACGCAGAAAGAAATAGCTGGAAGCGGAAACGATATATAAGAGTTGTGAGGCTGCTGATGTAAATTAGATTATGAGAAGTTGGTTGATATGCTCACATCAGCTGTCATGAATCAACACGAAACGCTAATACTTTGCTTACGTGTCTTCTTGACACACACCGACGCGATTTGTGACCCACAGCAGTAACGAATTGCAGTTTGCCACGTAATTATTCTTCTTAAAAAATACTTCGTAACGGGTTTTTCGGATAGAACTGCTCACATTTTTTTCCCCAAAAAAAAATTTTTTTTTTCAAAAGATTTTGGATTTTGGTGGGGGAAAATAAATAAATAAATAAATAAATAGCTGCTCTACCTATTGAAGCGAAGAGAATAAATTATATTATTTTGTGAATCATATCCATACAAAAAATAAATAAAATCTTTTAAATTCAACTAAAATATCATCTTTACTTCGACAAGAAATTTAATTTCACTTTAAAAAATTAAAATCATAATGAGCACGTGATATAAATGTAAAAATCAAAATTTTTGAGATATATGTAAATACATTGGAATTGTGTGTCATGTATGTAAATGCCCCTAAAAAACATATTAGCATGATAAATTATTACGATATATATATATATATAATTTCTAAAGACCATTTTAATGAAATTGGATCAAATATATGCAACTTAATTTTTCATATTAGGTGAGTTTGACGGTTTACGAACGGGCGTGTAGTCGACGGTGTCTAAACCGCCAGCCAGAAGCCTGAATACCCGCCCCCGCCTACATCTCCTTCATTTTGTCTTCGACATTTTATCAAACACCAATAGTGCATTATTAGGAACGTTCTTAAATATCAAGCAAGCTTGGACCACTGCATGGCTTTTCTTTTTCACATTAACAAGATCAGTTCCCCCATGTTAGTGGTGGGGCCAGAAAATGGCTACATGGTAAAAAAATTTCTTTTTTAAGATTTACATGCGTATCGCTCAATTCCTACGCATCTACGTGTATAACACTAAATTTGAAGTCCCACGTATTGACACATCTAACGCCTAAATTTCAATATGTAAATGCCTCTTTTTGAAAGATTTACAGGCGATAATAAAATAAAAATCTTAAGAAGTTAAATTTGAGGGCTCATCCCTTAAAAAAAGGGGCAAGTACATATAGATTATAGGGGTATCTAGTGTAAGATTACATGTTTGTTCTCTTTTAATAGAGACCTTACCAGATATTATGATATCTTCTTATATTCTCTGTTTTTGGCATCCTTTCAAAGTTATACCCGCTCTTAGCACGGTTATATATAGTATTCATAAATGCTTGAAAAGTGGCATATAATGATCTGATAACCCTGTTGTTTGGTTGGATGGTGTTGTGTTGGAGCCCGATCCCGACCCCGCCTACCGCTTGAACGCGAAGCGCCGCTCCTGCTCTATCGCGAATCGTTGCGACCGCTCCCGCTCGCCTCTTCAGTTCGTGATACATGTTCCCGCTCCCGCCTTCACTTGCTCCCTCACACGCGAAGCTTTTGTCCGATCGCGAATAGTCGCGAGATCTCCCACAACCTTCTCGCGATAAAAGGCTTCGAACGGCTCCTTTAGTTTATAGGTCACGATTCTTTTGTGTTCTTCCTCGAACTTCCTCGGGATAGAGGAAAAGAAGTGCAAAAAGTAGTTCTTTGCGGCAGAAATAAGAAGAAGAAGAAAATTGTTTTCCATTGGTTTATTCTTGGTGGCTTGTGGCAGAAGAGAAATTGGTTTATTTCTCATGTAAGTTTGTTTTTTTCGGTGTATCTCGATGAATAGAGAGAAGAAGAGGGAGCAATGAAGTGAGAGATTTCTCTTCTAAGTCGAGATATTTCCAACAAAGCTGGCCTTGATTTGTAAATATAACATTTTCGGGTGCTCTATTTGTAATTATCCCAAATATATCATTAAACGATTTTATTTTTAATTATTTTATGAAATTATTACAAACTCAAATATAAATTCAATGTATAAATTTGCTTTCCCCGATTCATATATATATATATATATATATAATCACAACAGGATGAAAATCTTTGATTGACAAATAGACATTCGACCAATTGAAAGGTCATCGGTCGGCTCACTCAGGAGAAAATGAGAAGAGACCTTATCGTTAGGATGAGTTGGGCTACCAAGCAGAGGGTATACCATAGTAATCTAATGGGCAACTCTTATTGAATAAAGAGTTTTCTCAATAGGACAAAAAGGCATTTCATGAGGACCTTTTGGCCATTTTACAAGGAGTTCCAGAATCGGCAGAGGGAATTAATCATGAATGACTATCTCTCAAATTGGGATCCATCTATTTCTTTGTTTGGTTGTGCTTCTATATGGTCGGCCCATATTTTCGACTGCAGAAAATGACACTTGATGTTTCTATCATTAAACTATCCCGATGTGCTATCCTTTGGTATTTATAAGTGATACCCGTTGGATTTCTTCTAGATTTGTGCGGACTTATTTTCTTATGTACCCCAACCCATATTTTTAATTTTTAATTTTTAACAAATTCTCAATGATTTGATTGTGACTCGCATAAGTACAACGGTTCTGTGTTTAAAAAAAATCATCACCCAGATGGTTAATATGTAAATATGAATGTTTCAGGTTGTTTGTATGCAATTATCGATAAAAAAAGCAAAATTAATCATAAATACGTATCAGATATCTAATTAATTCAAGATCTTCTGATTAGAGCCACAAACATTCTGCTATTTAATTAAGTTGAGTTGCATATAGTTTAAAAATTTTGCCGTTAAACATTCGTTTAATTATCTTAATAATATAAGTTTTGCTCTCTTGTACTTTATATCTCATTTGAAATCTGATACACTACCGACAAATTTTTATCATCAAACACGAATCCCAAGATTTAACACGAATCTCAAGATAATATTTTAAATAAGAAATATTCAAATTTTGATAAAAAGTCATCCAGAATTCTGATTTCAGCAAACTTATAATCAAACTGACATGTTCAATGAGACGGACCTAATGATATAAAAACTAGCACAATCAAATTCAAATCAAGCCCAGATCAAGTCATTAAATCACAGTTATAAAGATTTATGAATACATTTGGAAAATCAAACGACTGTTAAATATGACAAGTTTATACTCAAATCGAGCGGCTCGATAAGACGAATCTAACGAGCCCAAGATCACTCAATTCTGACACTATTAAAGCACTCAAATGTCCACTAAATGTTGTATGATCGATGTAAGCTCTCCGGACCGTCAGATCAAAATGGTTCATATTCTTACATTAATTGCACATAGAATACTATAAATAGAGTCTTATCCCTCTCATGAGAGGAGAGAAAGTTGAGAGAGATCCTGAGGTATTGAGGAGAAGCTGCAGCTCAGCAGCACCACCAATCGTCGTCGACCAGCGTCGACCTCCGTCGTCGACCACTGCCAGCCGCCGTCGACCACCGCCTACCTTCGTCAGCCTCCACCTACCGTCATCAATCACCACAAACCTGACGCCGTCAGTTGACATTGTAATCTGAAAAATATAGTTGTCTTTTCCTGTCTATGGGGCAAAAGATTTCTATAATCATCAATAAATAGTAGATTTCCGAACTAGGCCAGACCCGTGGTTTTTCCCTAACGGGTTTTCCACATAAAAACTTTTAGAGTCATTGCCATTTTTTTTCTATTTCATCTGTGTGTGTGCTGAATTTTCGTACAATGCTAAGACGATATTAAGAAACTAATTTTTAACTCCTCTACCGCCGCGAATTTTCTAGCACGCATCAAAATCATAATTCGAGGAATGGATAACAGGAGATGTGAGAAAAGAAGAAAGAATGAACTAACTAACTAACTAACTAACTATATATATATATATATATATTCCTTGAAGTGCAGCTTATTCATATTAGTTGATCGGGCATTTGCTTGTCCGTTGTAATTCC